CCACCCACCCTCAAAGGAGAACAAAAACATCGCCACTCTTCCAAGGACTCCTAAAACTGTCTCGGACCCCTCTCTTTCTCTCTAAATGTGATCAAGTGAACGAAGTGTCAAATCAACAGAGAACCCTTTGTCCAAAAAAAACTTTGTGCCTCCGGCGATCAGCCAGGGACATCGCTCGGAACTCTTCCCAGAACCATACTGGATCTACTATTCTTTGTTCGTCTAAGGTTACTGCTGTGAATGTGTGTTGACATTCATACAGCTGTTGTTGCAAGTGTTGCCGTAGTAAAAGCAGTAGTACTAGTAGTTTTGTTATTATCATTCACTAATTTTATAGTTTTTGTTGTTATCATTTACTAATTTTTTTGATGTTCTGGATTGCTTCCTCCTCCTCCTCCTCCTCTTCTTCTTCTTCTTCTTCTTCTTCTTCTTCTTCTTCTTCTTCTTCTTCTTCTTCTTCTTCTTCTTCTTCTACAAAAACAACAAAATACTACTACTACTACTACTACTACTACTACTACTACTACTTCTACTACTACTACTACTACTACTACTACTACTACTACTACTACTACTACTATTACTACTACTATATCTACTATTACTACTACTACTACTACTACTACTACTACTACTACTACTACTACTACTACTACTACTACTACTACTACGACGTTGTTCGGAATGGATTAGATAACGAGTCATACACTTCTGCCTCTATTTTTTCATCTTTACGCCTCTCTTTTCTCTAAACTTTTTCGTTATTCAAATTTAAACATTTTTATTGATGGATCTGCATACAATTGTAATTACTTGGATGGGATCAAATCATAACATTTAAGTACGTCCAATGCAGCTCTCTTTATTGACTTCAACATAATCCACACTCGCATAATGGTTTCAAAATTAATTAACATGAACATAAACAAGAACATTATGGCTTCGATTTTGGAGTTTTTGACCAATTGCCCTCGATATGTAAAATGGAATGGTGTGTATTCTGACCTGGATTTTTAAGCTCTTGACCAACTGCCCTCAACATGTAAAATTAATAGATGTGAAATCCGACCTTATATTCACGAACAAAGGTGTGTCCCAAGGTTATGGCATCTCTCGCTCGTCTCTTCTGTTACAAAAGCATCCCTTTTGATAAGAGCTGGGCGAAGAATCGAATAAGTAAACCGAATCCTATTATCTAGTGTTACGAAAGAAAAGTTCCGATTCGTTTTTACGTAACACCAACTGTTACCACTTACTTTATTGATTAAACTTTTATTTTTATGTCTTTTTAAAGAATTTATTGATGAAAAGAAAAAATGATTGATGCCTTGCCGTGTTCCAAAATTGAGGCTTTACTGAACACTGAAGCCGTTTGGAGCCAACCAGGTAGCCGCGCGGTACCTGCCTAGGTGTTGGGAGTCTTCTGAGTTCTGAGGTAATATAATGGACTCGCCGGGAGTAATCACGACTTTTTGTAAGGAATCGGTAATTTTCTACGGGTCAGATCCACTGGGGAAAAATCATGGACTCTTCGGAATAAATCACCTCAATATAACTTGGTTCGAATTCAATTCTTACGATTCCTAGCTTTCAAGAATCAGGAATCTGCGGAAAAAAGTGAACCTGTCGTCTCACGATTTTCGATCTCCCGAGAACGTTTATGGAAGCAACAGGGAGCAGGCCAAAGGCGGTTGTTCGAAGGGAGGAAGGGGGGG